TTATAAGGTCATATGGTATTGTTTGTACAAAAGAGATAAAATCCCATATTAAATTAATGTGTTTTTATGTTACTGGTATGACTTCCCTTTTCTGTTCTACTTGGTTCTGTGAAGTTGTAATGTTCCTGGTGTCACCACTCGGAAGAAGACCAAGTGTTCATTAGCATATTTCAGTAACCACTGTTCAGGGCTTTGCACCAATGACAGCAGCTGTTGTTTTCAATTTCAAATTTTTCAGGAGCCCTAAAGTAGTATACCAAAGTCCCAGATTCATCAACTTTTTTTCCCCCAAAACCTTATTGTTAAGTTTCTTCCCTGGCCATCTGTATATCTGTATCCTTTTTTTTTTTTTTTTTAAATAGCTTCTCTCTTGTATTTTCTTGTTCTTTCCCCCTAAATGCAGTGGTAGAGGTTGTTGTATATAACTCCACCAAACTTGGGCTGCTGCTTTTTGAGGATTGTCCAAAGGAAGAATGGGAGAGCAGGATGTCTCCCCAGTGGGGCTTCGATGTAGTCTTTGGAATGATGAGGTTAATAGTCAATAAACAAACAGTTCATCTTTCTTAAAATCTTGAGCTCATCATTCATTTCTTCTATATTACTTTCTCTCTTTCTGTCTCTGCCTCTAGTTTTCTTGCTGTCTTTTGTTTTCGTCCTTCATCTCTCTGGCCTAGCCATTTTATAAAATAGAATAGAGCNTTTTTTTTTTTTTTTTTAAATAGCTTCTTTTTTTTTTTCTTGTTCTTTCCCCCTAAATGCGGTGGTAGAGGTTGTTGTATATAACTCCACCAAACTTGGGCTGCTGCTTTTTGAGGATTGTCCAAAGGAAGAATGGGAGAGCAGGATGTCTCCCCAGTGGGGCTTCGATGTAGTCTTTGGAATGATGAGGTTAATAGTCAATAAACAAACAGTTCATCTTTCTTAAAATCTTGAGCTCATCATTCATTTCTTCTATATTACTTTCTCTCTTTCTGTCTCTGCCTCTAGTTTTCTTGCTGTCTTTTGTTTTCGTCCTTCATCTCTCTGGCCTAGCCATTTTATAAAATAGAATAGAGCAAATAAAGTCATCTGTTGTGTTAGCTGAGGGGCCAGTATAACCTGAAGGGTAAGAGTGTGGGCTCTGGGGGGCCGACTGCTGGGTTTGAATCTTGGCTTCTCCAATTATGAGGTATTTGAGCTTGTTTCTCTGTTTCAGTCATTATGTTCATGTCTGTTTTCTTATTGGTGAAACTAGGATGATAATACTATCTTGTGAGGTGGGGTTGTTGTGAAGATCAAGTGAATTCATACCTGTAAAGTACTTATAATAGTGTCTGGTATGCCGGTGTTCAACAACTGTTGAGTACTTTTGCTATTATTAATTTATTTAATAGAATTGTTTATAAGCAGAGAAAGAAAATAAATTATCCATGATGTCATCTAGGGAGAATTGCTATTATTAACATTTTTATTGTGCATCCTTTTTTCCATGTATGTTTTCAGCACAAAAATTGGATCATGCTGAGCTATTTTGTAGCCCATGTTCTTCACTTAGAATGGTGTCAAGTATTTAATACCATGAAAAGATGGGCAAAACACAACATTTAATATTAGACATAATTAATGTATTCATTTGTTCAGTCTTTTACTGTTAGGTATGTACGATGTTTCCAATTTTTCAATATATAAACAGTGTAGTAAGCAATACCTTTGCAGATAAATATTTGAATATATTTGCGATTACTGTTTTAGAATAAATTTTGGAAGGCAAATGCAACAACTTATATGCCTGCCTTCAAAAATAAGCACCTGGTTTAGATACTTAAAAAGTCACACACTTACGTGGCCTTTGAATTTCTTTGGTAATTTAGTAATTCTTCAAAAACAAAAGCAAAAATCGAAACCAAATAAAGCTTTTCTGCTTCTTTTTTCCAAATTAATAAGATTTTCTTTTTTTTTTTCCTTTTTGTCTTTTTTCGTGACCGGCAACGGATCGCAACCCTCAGTGTCGCGCCCATACGGGACCGGGACCAGCAATGGGATCGCAACCCTTGGTGTTGCGCCCGCACCTCGCTCAGCCAGTGAGCGGCCGGTCTGTATGTGGGATCCGAACCCTCGGCGGGTGTGCCGCCGCACTCTCAAGCGGCGCACTGTAGCAGTGCACCACCAGGCCGACCCTCTAATGTTACTTTTGTAAAAAACTATTATAGAAACTCTTTGTAAATGACATCTTATGTGTTTTGCCTTTTAAAGGTTAAACTTATTCTCAGTGATCACCAAAAGGAAGTTTTATGACTTGTGTCTGGTAGGCCTAATGTGAGAAATGAGGTACTAAGAATATTGACGTGGTAAAGCTTAGGGCAAACTATTTAAGGTCTCTAATCTTTAGTTCATTCCTGCTTCTCTTCTCTGCCATCTTCAGCTGTCCTTGTGGTGCTCTTGTTTTTCCTGCCTTTTGTGGACACCTTACACCTGGGGGTTGTGTACCTACATTGCACTTGCTTCATATTTGCTTATAAGAAATAAAGACTTCTTGAAAGTAATACACTTTAATTTTAAATAGTCACTCAATTTGGACAACATGTGAATTTGGATAGGTATTCCTTGACTTAATTTCAACATAAGAAATTTTATTTCACTGCTACTTCACTGATTAGTTGGAACTCCCATAGGAAAAAAATAGCTAGTTAATGTCATCCTTATTTCCAGAGTTCTTTTGTAATTCATGAATATTGATTTATAATATGACCTAATTTTAAGAGTCATTCTTTACTTTTCTGAGGCCCATGCAAACAAAGTTTATATTTCTAATTATTCGACTTATGATGGGGTTACGTTCTATAAACTCATTGTAAAATCAAAAAATTGTAAATCAAGGACTGCCTGCATTATTTTAAATTGAATTACAAATAGTCAGATCAATGACATTTCTCATAAATTTATACTACCTTATACTGAAGTATTTATTCTCTCTCTTTCTGCCCTTTTTTCTTGCCGTATTCCTTCTTACTCCTTACTTCTCCCTTTCCCCCATTAGAATTCTGAGATGTGGTACAAGCGTCACAGTATTGCTATTGGAGAGGTGCCGGCTTGCCGTCTTGTTCACCGCAGACAGCTGACAGAAGCCAATGTAGAAGAGATATGGAAGTCTATGACATTATCATAGTATGTGCATTTGATGTTAATGAGAATTTTTAAGTGATATGTTTCTACTTTACTTCACTACTCTGCATATTTAATTCTCTGAAATTATGTATTAAAAATCTCAACTTCACATTATTTGCTGCTATGCTGCTTAGCAAACATAATTTAACTGAATTCTGGGG